GTAGCATTAGCATTAACATTGGAATTAATTGTAGTAATAACAGCATTAATATTAGCATTAATTGTGGTATTAACATTGACAACGTTAGCATTACCATTACCAGTGGCATTAAATGTAATTATAACATTAGCATTAACATTAGCATTAACTGTAGTAATAACAGCATTAATATTAGCATTAATTGTGGTATTAACATTGACAACATTAGCATTACCATTACCAGTAGCATTAAATGTAATATTAACATTAGCATTAACATTAGCATTAGCATTAACATTAGCATTAATTGTAGAAATAAGAGCATTAATATTAGCATTAATTGTGGTATTAACATTGACAACATTAGCATTACCATTACCAGTAGCATTAAATGTAATATTAACATTAGCATTAACATTAGCATTAGCATTAACATTAGCATTAATTGTAGAAATAAGAGCATTAATATTAGCATTAATTGTAGTATTAAGATTAGCATTAACAGTAGCATTAATTGTAGCATCAAATTTAGTATTAACACTAGCATTAACATTAGCATTAACATTAGCATTAGCATTAACATTAGCATTAATTGTAGAAATAAGAGCATTAATATTAGCATTAATTGTAGTATTAAGATTAGCATTAACAGTAGCATTAATTGTAGCATCAAATTTAGTATTAACACTAGCATTAACATTAGCATTAACATTAGCATTAGACTAACATTAGCATTAACAGTAGCATTAATTGTAGCATCAAATTTAGTATTAACATTAGCATTAACATTAGCATTAACATTAGCATTAGACTAACATTAGCATTAACAGTAGCATTAATAATAGTATTAACATTAGCGTTAGCAGTTATCTTTGTTATTAATAACTCGACTCAGACCAGAAAAATAAATCAAGTCAACAAAACAAACCAGCAGTTTGAAGTAAAGTTGATAAAAGTGCGATCTGCAGTTTGAGGAAGAGTTTTTTTGTTTTGTTTTTCAAACTATACAAATAAAAACTGTAGATGTAAGTTTCTTTTCTTCGTCTGTTTGGTTGTTTGTTCTGTGTTTTCTTCCCGTCGGTCTGGTCTGGTCTGTCAGACTCTGAGTCGTTCCGCAGCAACAAAAACCTTTCATCAGCCGAAGTGAAGAGCGTCACGCTCAGTCAGCTCCTCTCCACTCGTTACAATCAAACACAAAGATACGCCGTCACTTTTCTTCCTCCTCTGCTTTTCTCTTCTGCAAACTTTAGAGCTGATTCTTCCCAGAATCCAAAAAACAGATTTTAACACATGGAGTCGTTAAAAGAATCAGCAGAGACCGAGTCAGAATGATGGAATCAGAGACTCCAGGTGGAAAAAGTTGAAATTTGTCTTCTGAGAAAAAAAAACTGCTGTTTAATTTTCTATTTTAAAATAAAACATGGACACTGTCGTCGCATGACTTACCAAGAATGCGTTGGAAACATGTTGGAAATAATGCACAGAAAGTCTGCGTGTATGGTCGCATACACAGACACTTTTTTCCACGGCTTTCAGCGCCATATTTGTTTATCATGGCCTGTGCTCAAAAGGAAAACCCGCTGGTCGCGTTCTTTGGCTGAAAACTCGTGCACATGAGCACTACCTATGTGACATTCTATGACGACATGTCGGGACGGCCGTCACATGAAATGACTTCTAGTCTACAAATTGTCTCCTCAATAGAAACAAGACGGAAAATTACATTCTCCCTCAGCAGTTTAAACATTTTTAAGCTGCCTACACTCACCTAAGTCGAAACACTGTCGTCTTGGCTACATTAAAACAGAAAGCTGAGCTCCCTGTTTTGACTCGATATGGAATAAAAACAGCTCCCACAGCTACCTCAGCTAGTGTCAATTCAGCCTCAGAAAACCAGACCAGCGTCTAACAATTTACAATTTCAATGTGTGTGGACCAAAAAATTAGCCGTAGCTCTTTAGCATAAGGTGCTAATGAAAATATTAGCTCAWCGTGCTTCTGCCGACAGACAGGTTCTTTTTTCAGCTCCAGTCCCAAAAGCTACCCACAGCGGCCYAGGTAAMGACAGATCACAAAACCCAGAAACGATCGGCAGACAAAAACAGGTCAGTCTTGTCAGCCTCCATCTTCCGGTGGATCTCCAAGACGACCAGCTGCGGGCAATCTTCCGGTCCTTGGAGCCGCCCTTCAACAACGCCAATTTCTATCGTCGCATGACTTACCAAGAAAGCAGAAACACGTTGGAAATAACGCACAGAAAGTCTGCGTGTATGGTCGTAAAT